AGTAAGCTGAGGCTTATGAAGTTTGATGAGATTGTAGAGTTCAGGCTTACGCATATCTGGAGTAAATGGAATTCCACGGTTATGCAACCAGTCAATGTACTCCCCTTTTCTAGACGATGTTGTTGGTGCTGGATTATCCACCCGGGAATGATAGGGGGCATTGTCCATCACTATTGTAGAGCCAGCTGGGATTGATTTTAACAACACCTCAAAAAACCAGCCTTCAAAAACTTCGTGGTTCATCTCTTCGTGGAAATCAACTGTCTTTTTTGATTCAAAAATCAATGGTGGTGAGTTTATCCAACCATTGTATCCTCCTGCATGGCATATTATGAGTCTTTTCCCTTTTCCGAGCGGAGCATTTAAGTTGCAATCAGACTTGTCGTCCGTCCATCCCACCTCCTTTGTTGAGTTGGCGTTAAGCCACGTTTCATCGAGGAAAATTACATTTTTCATATCAACATTTTTCATTTTTCTTAAAAATCTACACCTAGATAAAGCAATACTAGGTTTTTCCATTAGCAGTTTTCTTTTGTTGAGCTTTTTCCAGCGGAAACCAAGGTTTTTCAACAATTTGGATAACGTTCGTAATGAGCCACTGAATAGACTTGCCTCACGAAGTGTGACCTGAAGTTTTCGGAGCGTTGGTACCTCTTTGCGTCTGTAATAATTTACCACGTGCCGACGAATCGCAGTTCTGTCAAAATCGTCCATGAGCGAGAACCGTGACTGCTTGTGCTTTTTCTTTTTTGGCGTTTGAAGTACAGGAGTCGAGTGGTTACATACAGCTACAGCTTCTTGTTCACTTTCTTCTGCCAAGTCCAGTTGAATGTCACTAGAATGAGATGTATCAGCACCAACACTAACACTTTTCAACTCCGCCTTTATTCTTCCCACGGTCCGTATCGACACCTGACACGCTTCGGACACTCTTTCGACAACTTTCTTTACGTCTTTTAGCGGCCCTTTGTTGTCGCGTTCTCGCTCGAAATACTGGAGGACAGACGCAATTATCGTTCTAGCTTGGGAATGATACACTTTACCCCGTTTCTCTGAAGGAGGCATTACATAAGAATTTACGGCGAACAAATTCAATTGACTACTTTTAAAATTATATTCACTATACGTCCAGAAATGTAATTCTAAATAAGCGCAAAAACACTGGCCGAATTTCACGTACTCACGATGTGCACCCCTCGACTGTCACTACACACACTGGTCATATATTTGCAGTTTTACTAAATGAGTCACAACCCCTCTTTTAGAAATAGTATGAATCATCTAGAAACAGACTTGTTTGCAGATTTTCTTGTTGATTAACTTTAGCATTGTAACACCCTTATCACATTAAATATTATTTTGTTTTGGTCGAGTTTTATATCATTTTTCATAACTTTTTTAGCAGATTTCAAATACACTTTTGAAAATGTAAAATTATTACTCTGTTAAAAAGTTTTACCATTGTATAAACACAGCCAGTAGGTGACTCATCGCCTAGACATCGGGCTGCTCCGGCGAACACTGCGAGGGATTATAGGGGTGGCCACAGGTAGTCCCGGGTCCATCGGCCAACTTGAAGTATACGCAGTATAGGGTTAAATAGCTTATTGATTTTTAACGTCACCATAAAAACTATGACCTAACTTACCATCCTCGATGCACAATACAGTATTTTAAATTGGTTGCTTCTATGCGTGCAAGTATGTTTAATACACCTATTAATTTCCGAAATTTTCCGGGGGAAGGCCCCGGACCCCCCCCCCCCGTTTTTCCGTTATCTATATTGCACCCACTTGTTCCAAATCCTGTGGGCACCCATGAATCAAGTATTATGTTAGAAAACCAGTTCTATCAGTATTTACAGTGTTTTCTGCGATCTCGGGGATTTCATCATCTGATACCGCAATAGCGACGAGACCACCTATCGCGGAGACATGACCATCGTCACCCGCGATCACGGAGGAGAAATCGCTTTTAATTGACACAAATCTCGGCACGAGATAATCCCAAATTATAGTATGTAGCCTAATCCAAATGATCGGGAGGATGCTATTTATTCCAAAAAATTGGGGTTTCTTCCTTAACTAGTTGGTGGATTCCGTTAAATACTTAATATTTGATTATATGACGTATAAGCCATACAAACTTTTTATATAGGCTACATTGAACCGTCTAAAACCACAACAAACCAATTAACTGTTGAATTAATTGTTTTGACGTGCGATGGAGCTTGCAGGTGCCAATGGAAACAGTAACGTGTAAACATTCTTTGGATAAAACAGGTTCCTGCCAAGTTTGAAATTAATCAGACGAGATCCATTGGCGTTATACGTAAACAATACTTTCTACTAATGTTTAATGACGACACACATTCTTGGGTTAGTGTTGGCCCGTCAGTCTAATTATTCCGTAAACCCTTTATTAAGGAAATTTTTTATGATTATATACAGTGCACTTGTCCCCAAATAAATGACTCGTAATTATTATAAAAGTTTTTTATGAGGAAAAAACTACGGGCGGATTATTAACACTTGATGAACTATTTCTCAGGTTGTATCTATACTATGTGGGGAGGGGGGGGGGTAAGTCAAGTCTTAAAACAAAAAACCATATCTGGAACAAACTGTGCATGTAGGTAGATGGATACTAAATACTTTCGGGATTTGTTTCTAAGATACCTCAAGGCAAAGAAAAGCTGATGGCGCAGACTACACGGTACATATACAGGGTGTTGAAAATGTCTGGAACCAACATTATATCTGGTGGGTGGTTAAAGAAAAACAACTGATATTTTGTGTACGGATATACTATGGTTTTACCTATCTTTTGGTGCCTTATGAAAATTTTTACCACTTATAGGGAACGTCCTGTGGAGGATGCAGTAAAAAGTTTTAATGGAAGCCTATGGTAAATGATACATCATTTTAAAGGCCATTTTTTTCTGAGTAAGGAGCCACAAGTTTCATCTCAAAAGGACCACCCTAGCAAAAATGGCGACTGTTTGAAATTTTAAAAACCACTTATAGGGAACGGAATTTTTAAATTTCAAACAGTCTCCATTTTTGCTAGGGGTGTCCTTTTGAGATGAAACTTGTGGCTCCTTACTCAGAAAAAAATGACCTTTAAAATTATGTATCATTTACCACAGGCTTCCATTAAAACTTTTTACTGCATCCTCCACAGGACGTTCCCTATAAGTGGTTTCTTTAAATTTCAAACAGTCGCCATTTTTGCTAGGGTGGTCCTTTTGAGATGAAACTTGTGGCTCCTTACTCAGAAAAATATGGCCTTTAAAACGATGTATCATTTACCATAGGCTTCCATTAAAACTTTTTACTGCATCCTCCACAGGACGTTCCCTATAAGTGGTAAAAATTTTCATAAGGCACCAAAAGATAGGTAAAACCATAGTATATCCGTACACAAAATATCAGTTGTTTTTCTTTAACCACTCACCAGATAAAATGTTGGTTCCAGACATTTTCAACACCCTGTATATGCGCTCTAAACTAGGCTTCTTATGATTTTTCTTTTAGGCCTACATCCTGTAAAGTCTGTTATTGAAATAAAATTGGACGCGCCTAGGTTCGATTCCATAGTATTTTTCATGGGTGCTTTTTCACCCAAACAAAATTTTAAATAGGTACCTGTCATTTTGGATGGGGGTGACATATCGACTTCAGGTTTGCGCCGTTGCTTATGTCTTGACAAATCATTCAAAATGAGGGGTCACTCAATAGGGGTTGCTATTTAAAAAAATAAGTCAACAGGGAGGGTAAAAATCCCAAAAGGTTGTTTTTTTTATGTTAATAGTTTAGTATGAAATGAATTCATTTTCCAAATTTGATCAAAATATGCTCACAAACAAGCAAACTACAACAGTTTACAATTTTCTCCATCAGAATAACATGGGAATTTTAAATTTAAATAATTTTTTTTTTAATTTTTCCGTAGCTATTAGGTGCATAATAATATACCATATCATTTTTTTTTAAGCTCTACAAAATGGCTTGGAAAGAAATTGTGAAACTTTGTGTTTTTAGGGTCAAAATGGGAAAACCAATTTTTACCCCATAAAACCCCCCATAAACCCCTGTTCCCATAGTCCGATCATGCTGGTATGAAGCATCTCATTCGATAGTACAAGAAATTATGTTCTTTTTAATATTTCGTTGTTTTAGATTGCACCAATGTTGCTGATGTTAAACTTATTGTTTTTTACATTTTCATGTATAAATACCAAATATTTTTTCATATCATTATAGTATTTACAAAAATAAATAAGGTTAATTCAGCAAAGTTTTACTTTAAAAAAAAATATATATATATTTTATCTTCCAATGTCAATACATAGGCCAACTGTTCTAAATATTTATTTTGTTGCAATTTTCCAATAATAAATATTTAGAACAGTATGTTTATTCTTTATTTCATTACAAACAATTCAAGTACATGGTTTAATAGGTTTGCTCTATTGGTTTAATTTATATGAATTTTCTAAAATATGACTGCAAAATCGCTTAAAATGCCTCGCACTATTAATTTTTTTGCGGTCATGACAACAGCTTATTAACTAAGCAACAAAAAGCTGTGATACACAATGAGAACTGTCAAAGCAGGATATATTACAGTTAGTTATATTTATGTTTTTAGCTTAGTAAATAATTTGTGATACTGTGCGAATGTTTGATGAATTACTTTTTTCTATTGTTTAGGTGCAGTGGTAGGACATTATGGCTATCGCAGATGTGTTGTACTATAGCATACCAATTTAAAGAACTATATTTTCTCCAACAAGCGAGTTGTAGTATTGTTGCAAAAGAACAGTTTAAGAACGTGTTTAAGTGTGTTTTAGGTGAGTTCTGGAAACTGAACAATAACCTTTCTTTTAATTCACCAAACAAACAACTCGGGAAACATTGAATGAATGCTTCCACCACGACCATCATAATATCATGTAATGGAGTAAAAACAAGTAATATTTCATCGTTATCACTTACCGCTTGCAAGGACGCCAAGCGATCTTTCACCATGGCGCTACCGCATATCCCTTGTTCACTAGTCACTGACTACTCACTGACTGACTGACTGAGTGACTGGTGCGGTCGGTGCGGCGGGCGGCAACCTCTACCACCACTGCCTGCTAGTTTCCCCTTCCCCACCACTAGATAAGACAGAACGTCACGCCGTTCCACCTATACCTATAATAAAACAACAGCAACAGCACCGATTTGATCTCGACACCATCGGCAACGGCAACCGACGGCAACGCTGCTAAAGAGTTAAACACAAACTATAGAAGGGACTGTCGCAGATCGTATTGTTGATGGTTGTGCTGAACGATACCAGAATACAAACTATAGCCTACAAATTAAACTGTTACTAGTGTTACTAATGAATGTGTGCTTTGACTTAAACAAAATCATTGTCATTTGTTCCACACCTAAGCATAACAGGTAATTGTGCGAGTTGTGATTTCTGTCGGTACAAATATTACCAACTTTGGCACACTTATTCTAACTTTCAGTAAATGAAGAGAAAACACGCACTGAACAACGTTAATTTAGACTACTGTTAACGTTAAGCTCAACGTCCCCGTTAAATATGGTTTTAGATAGTATATCAGAGCCAATGAAATTAATGTTAATAACATCATTATTAAGATACATTTAAGTTTACTTTGTGGATGTACATTATAAAGAACTATGTTTTTTTAATAACATATCTATGAGTTTTGGTGTTATATCATGCATAGCCTTCTCTGTAAAGGTGGCTATGGTTTATATGGGCTAGCGGTTTTTCTATCCCCCTGGAATTTTACCCCCTGGGCAAAACTGACCTCACAAACAAACTGTAAAATTCCGCCCGTGAACTTTTGAGTTGCACATCAGTTCGGTGATGGTGGAATTAAACGTATATTTTCATGGTTGTAAATTTAATCATAACACATCAAATATATATATATTTTTATTTTTTTTATTTATTTAATATTTTTGACGCTGGAAATTAAATTTGCTACAACTTTTGCATTTGATTAAATTGTTTATAAATATTTATTTTGAGCATAATTTTGGGTTGCTTTCAAAATTTGTAATTTGAAAAAACAGAAGATTTGTAAACTTTTTTTTATTCTGTGCACAGAGGGATTGCCAAAAACAAAATCTTTTATATCATTATATGCTACATTCATAATCTCAAAATAGTTCTAGATAACGATAAGTATACACCACCATTCATTGTCGACCTATTTTCACTTGGTTATGACGGATTTAATGTTTTCGGCCGCCATCTTGGATGCGCCATTTTAAAATGTGATCAATTAATTTAAATATGAAGGGTGGTGTTGTGACCCATCATTTTGATTTACTTTTAGCGAATTTCCCTATAGGGAAGTAGCTATTACCGTAGGTGGCACGGTAAGACCTAGACCCGGGACCGATTTACTTTTTCATTTTGATGTCCTAGATGCCAAAAACACCATTCGTTCAAATTTTTATATATGTATATATATATATATATATATATATATATATATAGACTTATATATATACGTCCGTGAACGCGATAACTTGAGTAATTTTTGTCCGATTTTGATGTAATTTGGTTTAAAGGTGTAAAGCGGGATAAACTTGATGAGTTCGCGAACCAGCATGATCGGACCATGGGAACGGGGCTTTACGGGGGGTTTTATGGGGTAAAAATTGGTTTTTCTCACTTTTGACCCTCAAAACACAAAATTTCCCAATTTCTCTTAGAAGAGCTTAAAAAAACAAACAATTCAGTGTATCAAAGTGTTTTTGTACGGTTATTGGTTACGGAAAAACTAAAAAAATGGTAAATTTAAAATTCCCATGTTATTCTTATGGAGAATATTGTCAAATGTTGTAGTTTGCTTGTTTATGGATATATTTTGTATTTTGATCAAATTTATTTATTTTGTACTAAGCTATCAATATTTTACAAAAAAAAACACACTTTATTAGTTTCCTTGTAGCAGCAAACCTAGGTACAGTAGAACCTCTTTAATCCGAACTAATTGGGACCAGGGGTAGTTCGGACTATTGAATAGTTCGGGTTACAGAACATATTGTTGTTTTTACATAACAATAGCTAAAACATGGCTAAAATTGATCAACATTATTTTGGGGAAAGTGAAACAATGTTTTATAAAGTAAAATACAGTGTTTATTTAATACAGTAGTAAACATGGTAAATAAAACGTACTGTAAATTAAATATAGTATACAATAAAGAACTGCTGTACTGTGTATATAGTACAGCAATGAGGGGTTCGGATTAGTGGACGTTCGGATTACGGGGGTTCGGATTAAAGAGGTTCTACTGTACTCGTTAAACCTAATGTTATTAAAATATATTTAATTGAAAATCAATTAAGACAAATGGAAATTCGCTTAGTCGGCAGGTTTGCTGCGGCGGGGGTATTTTATATTGAACTCAATGCCGCAATCCGTTTTTGGTTATCAAACTTCCTTGATGAAATATTAATATTCTCTTATTTAAAACTAGCTATTACCCACGGGCTCCACCCCGTTTTACTACATTAGTATTAATAAAACTATTGATTGGTTAAGTTAAGATGAAATAAACAAAACAGAATACAAACAAATAATAACAGCTGAGATATTTTTTTACATTAGGTAAATGGAAAGTTCCCTTTGGAAAGCAATTACGACCTTAGAGGGCAATTTATGAAATAATGGATAATTTTGGGCAAAGTTTCTCGTCATGACGAACATTTTAAGTATATGGTTAATGGGGGTGTGACTTGTAGTTTTCTCAAAAGTTCATGGGTACTTTTGGCTTTGTATATAGATTTCAATATTTCAAAAACCAAAGATGCAAATGAAAAACGGATTGTGGCATTAAGTTCAGCATAAAAAAGTAGCTCGAAATGATGGGTCACAACACCACCTTCATATTTAAATTAATTGATCACATTTCAAAATGGCGGATGCAAGATGGTGGCCGAAAACATTAAATCCGACATAACCAAGTGAAAATAGGTCGACAATGAATGATGGTGTATACTTATCGTTATCTAGCACTATTTTGAGATTATGGTCTTAGTTTGTAAATGCACAATGTTAAAATGGGCTAAAAATAAAGTTATAAAAAGTCCTCATAACTTTAGAACGGATCAAGATTTTTAAAAACTAATTGCGGCATTGTAATCAGTGTAAAATTCTAGTTTAAAATAATGGGACACAACCCTACCTTTACATTTGAAAAAAACTTTGTATCGTATCCAATATGGCGGATCCAAGATGGCAGCCAAAAATGTATACCCAGTCAAAATGAGGTACTTACTACTCTACAATGATCTGACGTAGTCCAGAGATGATATCTTAAGAAATGTAGAAAAAAGTTGGGGGTGAACTCATTTAAAACTCACCCTGTACACTAGACTAGACTATAGACTAGACTAGACTAGACTAGATAACCCACTACTTTGGTTATCTCTTAAGTACTGAGCTAAAGTACTGGCGGGTGCCCTCTATGCACAAGTAAATGTTAACCACCTATTGTAAAGTGAGCTTTTCATACCTATGTAGCAAGCTAAATCCCTCTCATCTTGACTCATTTCAACTACTGTGATGTGGTGATCAATAACATGACTAATGAAGTTTCTAGTAGACTTCAGCGAGCGCAGAATTCCTGTATCAGATTTATGTTTGGCCTTAGGTGATATGACCATGTAACTCCCTATTTACACCTGCTTTCATTGATGAAGTTAAATGAACTTCGGGAATTCCACACCCTCCGTCTTCTACACTCCATTATCAATAGTAAAATTCCCAATTAATTTATCAGACAACTTCCATTTTATTTCTGACATCAGCACCCATGCCACTCGTAGAGGCTCTCACCTTTTATCTACACCAATTCACCAAATCTAAATCCATAGGAAACCGTGCGAGGTTTGGGGCAGAAATTAAATCTATTATATTGAGCAGCAGGCGTGAGTGAGTCTCTGCCGCTGGTGTGAGGGGTTGTTGGTGGATTGTTTGAATGGGATTTTTTTAGGATTACTAAACTTAATTTCTTCATGTTTACTCATTTAATGTATTACTTTTGATTATTTAAATTTATTTATAGTACCTGGGGACCGAGCTTTGCTCGGGAAATTCGTTAGTTTGCTCTGAAAGCAGTCTTAGTATTGCAGATACATAAATCCATTCCCAAACTCTACACTGCTCGCCTTTACTACTTCCTTCAGCGCTCCCTACGTCGTGCACCTGTTTCCCTCCCTTCCCATTGCATATTAGGATTGCAGATACATTAATGTAATTGCCACAGACAGTTCCCACGCTCAGCACTGCTAGCCTTACTTCTTCCTTCACCACTTCCTACGAAGAGGACCTTATTCCTCCCTTCCCATTGCATTTAAAAATTGCAGATACCTTAATCTAATCATCATAAACAGTTCCCACACTCCAGACAGCTCAGCTTGACTACTTCCTACACCACATCCTACGTCGCGAGCTTGTTTTTCTCCCTTCCCATAGCATTTTAGGATTGGAAATATCTTAATCTAATCGTCATAAACAGTTACCACACTCCGGCCAGATCACCTTGACTACTTCCTTCACCACTTCGTACGTTGCGGACCTGTTTCCTTCCCTTCCCATAGCATTTTAGGATTCCAGAGACCCTAATCTTATCGTCATAAACAGTTCCCACACTCCGGACAGCTTGCCTTTACTACTTCCTTCATCACTTCCTACGTCACGAACCTGTTTCTCTCCCTTCCCAAGGCATTTAGGATTCCAGATACCTTAATCTAATTGTCAAAAATAGTTCCCACACTCCGGACGACTAGTCTTGACTACTTCCTTCACCACTTTCTACGTCGGGGACCTGTTTTCCTCCCTTCCCATATTATTTTAGGATTGCAAATACCATACTCTAATCGTCACTAACAGTTCCCACACTCCAGACAGCTCGCTTTGACTACTTCCTTCACCACCTCCTACGTCGCGGAGCTCTGTTTCCCTTCATTCCCATAGCATTTTAGGATTGTATATACCTTAATCTAATCGTCATAAACAGTTCCCACACTCCGGACTACTCGCCTTGACTACTTCCTTCACCACTTCCTACGTCACGGACCTGTTTCCCTCCCTTCCCATAGCATTTTAGGATTGCAGATACCCTAATCTTATCGTCATAAACAGTTCCCACACTCCGGACTGCTTGCCTTTACTACTTCCTTTATCACTTCCTACGTCACGGACCTGTTTCCCTCCCTTCCCATAGCATTTTTTGATTGCAAATACCATAATCTAATTGTCGTAAATAGATCCAACACACCGGACAACTTTCCTTTACTACTTCCTTCACCACTTCCTACGACACAGACCTGTTTCCAAACCTTCCCTTCCTATAGCATTTTAGGATTGAAGATGACCTTAATCTAAACGTCATAAACAGACCCCACACTTCGTACTGCTTACAATGCCTACAATGTATCGAGCAATCTACAGTATAATCTTTGCTCAATAGTAGCTAGCAAGTTATGTTTTCCCTTTTGTACTGTATTTGTAATTTGCTAGTATACTGTGGGTAGTTGGCTTATTATGAACACGTGCTATAACTTCAAGTATTTTGTTTACTTTTTCCTTGTTATTTAATTCAACCAACATGGTTACTTAGCAACCCATAAGACTAATGTTAAAAAAATGTGACTTTCAGTGTCGTTTTTCTACGTAATTAGATTTTTGTTGGGGGTTCTAACTGCATGAAGCTCGTTTTTAGGCCAAAAATAAACTATTTACAAGATTTGAAGAAAATCGTCGGAGCCGTTTTCGAGATCTTTCTGCAAGCAAGCAAGCAAGCAAGCATACATACAAGCAAACATTGCTCGTATTAGAGTATAGGATTAGTGAATATGTTTTTATTTATTTATGTTTTAGAGGTTAAGTGGTAGAGAGGACTTACAAGTCCTAACTTCGCTTCTTAAATAAAGAAATTTTTCATTTAATTTCATTTCATTTCTCTTGACACCAACCGGTACAACACGTACTCGAGCATTGTCAAATTATTTCTATGCTCTGTTCAGTTTTGGGCATGTTTTAATGAGGAGTCCCAACCAAAGTCTCTGGTTGGAAACAGAAGAGGATCTAAAGACAGATCTAGATCAGATACGCGTCTAACATTATTAAAAAAAAAAACTATACGATTTCTTTGGTCAGGTGGTTCTCAGTTTTTATCTTTGAAAATAGCTACGAAATCTCTGTTGCTACAATACAATGGTGCTAACTTTACACTGTAAAGTTAGCATCATTGTATTGTAGCAACAGAAGTAACTTCCTTTGTCTTTTACTATGCACAGAATCTAACTTGACTCCTCTTGTCCCTACAAATTCCTGTTACAGTCTTAAAAGATTGGACAAATTTAATGTGTTGGCGTTTTCAAGGTGTGATCCTATTTCCCGCAGTTGAATTTTTTTCATGGGCTGTTGGGTTCCAGTGTCTTCGTCGTACATACAAATCTATGCGTATTCGAATCACAACCTTTTTGAGGAATTAGAGGACCTACTCGACGGTAAAACGTGTCATGTAATGTCCTTAAATCTAAATGAGCTTCAGAGCAAAGCATGGCGAATTGAATTGATGAATGTTATCAAAATAATTTCTGGATTTAAGTCTCCCAGCAGCCCTATTTTCAGAATGGGAATGTTCAATAAGCTCCTTAAAGTGTGGTGAATTCCGCAAATGAGGTAAACAAACCTTTCCTTAATGCCAGCAAATTGTAAAAATTGAACTGTCTATTTCAAACTATGTCCATGTGTTTAGTTGTAAACAAAGTGAATTAAGTTTGATTCAATGCAATGTCGACCGATAACACCACTGTTCCAAAACTTTAGCCCTTAACTGTACTTAATTGATGCCCTTTCTTTATATTCTGAGACGTCTTTGCACATTTACGTACAAATGCCTTTAATTTGACACCTCAAACGTAAAGATCCGTCCAGCTGTTATCGAGTTATGACTGTGAAAAGAAAACTGCTTGCTTATTAATATACTAGATAACCTGTTGCTCGAAATCGAGCAAAACTGCAACTTGAAATAAATTAATGAAGAGCAAAAAACATAAACAGCAAAACCTCAATCATAGAGTCACTCTAAAGTAGCTTCTATGACTGATAATAGAAATTTGAAAAATATTAAGTTGTACAAAATTAGAAAATTAATCTACGGTACGATCTTTAAATATAGATCCGTTCTCATACTGCTTTGGTTATCTCTTATGTACTGAAGGCAGGTGCCCTCTATGAGAACGTAGATGTCAACCACACACTGTAAAGTGAGCTTTTCAGACCTATGTAGCAAGCTAAATCCCTCTCTTGACACAAACCAGTACGACACGTAACTGTATAGCATTGTTTAAATTAGGTGTCCCAACTAAAGTCTCCGGTTAGGAACATAATAGTGGATTTAACGACGTATCTAGAACGGATTCACGTTTATTACTATTAGTTTTTGAAAACAAAGATTTATTCGGCCAGGTGGTGCTCTGTTTTCAGTTTTAAAATAGCTGCGACATCTATACAGGTAGCATGATTGTAGCGAGGGAAGTCACTTCTTTTGTCTCTTACTATGCACATAAGAATCTAACTTGAATCCTCGGAGCTCTCGTCCCTACAAATTTCTGCCACAGTTTTAAAAGATTGGGCAAATGGGTTGGCATTGTGACCCTATTTCCCGTATATATGTTTTCATTGAATTTTTTGTTTGAATTGTTTTACATGCGCTGTAGGGTTCCAGTACCAACGTCGTACCGGTACTTATAGATCTGTGCGTATTCAGGATCATGACCTTCTTGAGGAATTAGATTACCTACTCCGTGGTAAAAGGTAAAACGTGTCATGGATCTCTTGAAGTTTTAGATCCCCTGTGTGACCCTCTCGTCAAAATGAGCTTCATAGCTGAACATGGCAAAGGCGGAATTGAATTGACGAATTTTATCCAGATAATTCCTGGATTCAAGCCTCACAGCCCTGTTTTCAGATTGGGAGTTTCCTACAAGTTCCTGAAAGTAAAGTATAGTGAATTCCTCAAATGATGTAAACCAACCTTTCATTTAAGGCAACAAAGAGTACAAATTGAACTGCCTCGGCCAGTCTTTTCATGCTTGAAATTTAAGCCACCACAATGTAAAAATGTAACGTTCATTTGTCCGAGATTGTATGTACAGTATCACCACAGCGGCACTGCCACTCTGTATCCGTCAAATTGGGAGGTTCGATGCAAGCGGTCTCGTTTGTGTTCCCTCTAGCCACTCACAGTTCTTCGTCTTACTGGGGGCATTTAATTTTAAATTTATATAAAATATGAAAGTTAACCAATCAACAGAAAACACTACAAAGGAATTTTGATACACATTGTAAATTACATGATAATATGGTAATGTAACGGGTAACTGCACTGTCAATAATCACTTTAAAACATTCACTCAATCACACCGAACTGTAACTAAAACTACATGATCATTCAGTAAAATACGATGTAAGTTAAATAAATTAAACTATTACAAACAATTTGTTGTCAGGTCTTGCTAGGAAACTATTTATGAACCAGACTTAGTTAACATATGTTTAAATGAAAATATAAAATTCCGGCTTTGCTCTGGATCATAGACTAATAAGTCCTGCAGTCTGTGGTTAAACTTAAAAACTATTTCAAACTACGTCCATGTGTTTAGTTGTGTAAACAAAGGGAATTGAGTTTGATGGTTTGATCTAATGTCAACAGATAGCGCCACCGTTCCCAAACTTTAGCCCTTAACTGTACTTAAGTGATGCCCTTTCTTAATATTCTGAGACGTATTTGCACATCTACGTGAAAATACCTTTAATTTGACACCTCAAACGTGTCAAGCCGTTATCGAGTTTTGACAGTGAAAAGAAAACTGCTTGCATATTAAGACTAGATATACTAGTGCACCTGTTGCTCGAATTCATGAAAATTTGTTGCAAAGTGTTACAGGCGTTACTTCAAAACAAATAACAGTCATAATTTTCGATGACTTAAAAGAGCCAACTCAAAGATAATGTAATCAATCACACCACTCCAGTTATCGAAACAAAAACGTCTCTAACTGTTTTGATCAAAATTTAGTATGATATGGTCCTTAAAGTTTAAACAAAAACAAAATAACAACCATGTAAAAATTATGGTTAAAATTATTGAAATTTTTTTGATTTTATTCATAAACATCATGGTTTCTCTCACCTTTTACCCATCATAAGGGTTGTTTACTAGCTTATAGGTTAAAGTATATGTCAGTTTGCTGATATTGTTTATTTTTAACAATGTACAAATTTTTTTGCTAAGTGTTCTAATAACTTGGTCTTGAATACTCTGTTATGATGGCAGAGTACAGTTGTTGAATGTGCTGAAGCCTCGGAGACCTCTGTTGACAGCCCTGAGGAGAGGGTAGTTGCCACAACCACAGTTGTTGTTGAAGTCGTCATAATCTAATGTCCAGACCATAGTTCCTCCAAGGCCTAGGTTTTTGATGAACTGTGTCTGGACAGTGCAGATAATGTTTATAATTTACAATGGAAATGAAATAAATCAAATAAATTATGAAACCGTTTTGCCTAGATCAGCATTATACAAAAACAAGTAGTGCCGGCTAATAAGATTGTTATGTCTGATTTTAGAAATTCAAAAGCTGTGATTTTCTAAATGATCCTAATGGTAGGCTACCTGATGATTATTTTGTAATAGGTGTTACAAAGTAGGAAGTGATACACTTATTGTTGTTATAGGGTGATATAAAGTGGAACCTGGAAAACAAGTCTCTCAAGAAAAAAGACTCTGTACTTATCCTCTCCAATAGCAAGGTGAACTCTGGCCACATAACTGAGGTTACCTTCACTCTTGCAATGACCATGAATTATGTGTACTTCTTTCAAACATCAAGCAACTACAGTTCCGCCAAAGTTTCTGTGCACACAACCAGATCTGGTCGGGTCTAGGCGAGGTGGTTGGTGGGGGTACTTTTGTGAAAACATTTGTGTCTTGCTACTCACGGCACCCCTACCACCAGCACTGCCAATATTTGGTACCGTATGTTTTAGTTCGGTTAGTAGCGACCACGTCCGCGCACACAGGAGTTTTGGACGAACTGTACAATGCATCTAATTTTACAGGGTTTTAAGTTATTGAATCGGTCTCGTGTTGTTGATTTTTGCCAGGGAGTCACAGATGAAGATGACCACGATATTAAATCACCTTTTACCACTGTCAACAACCTAATACTATTTAGACGGTAGTTTAAAGTAGCTCATAATATAATTACCATTATAAAAAACCTGATGATATTTATTGAGTGTTCATTTGTTGATTATTTACCTTTCTATCAATGTCAGAGACGTCATCATAACTGATCCATTGGGTGTTGTGGTAAGCCACAGTACCATAAGATGGCTTCTCTACCTTCCAACCCTCAGTACGCACCATTTCACATATCTGTAAACAAATTTCTAATTTCATGAAGGCATTGTTGTGTGCGACTTGACACTGTCGCGCATCACTTAGGTTATATATTAACACAGACATTTTAATGCTTATTTTACCATGTATGATCTAGGTGTTTCAGTTACATCAACAATGTCAGCAGGTTCCCAGAATTTCTATCAAGTTATAGAAATACACTGGGTCAAACACATTAAAGTTCATTAGGGTTATTAGTTTGTATTAGGCTTGGTAGTTTGATTGTAATGATTAGCAGCACTAACTTGGTTATTTAGTATAGCTTGTTTGACCTGACTGGTAATACACGAACTGGGCTTAAGTGACTTTTTAGCAATAGATATTTTTGTTCGTAACCGATGACTCATTAGAATTTGAGCAGGACTTAAACCATCGATAACATGACACTCAAGCAATACTATGCTAATGTCATCACAACATTTTTCAACATCTATAATTTTACAGTTTGGCCCATTCTCTCTACTTGTCCAGTAGATCTCGTATAAAAATGACTGGAATTTATTAAATCAAAACCCCATTCTTCGGCGAATTCATTGAACTCATTAAAGTCCCAAATGGATTGTTATCTCCTACTACTTTCAACGGGATTCCATGACAAGCGAACATTGGTTTCAAGAAGTGGTGTAGGCTTTTGAGATGATATTGTTACTTAGTTTTAGTATATTCAGTCATGATGAGTGACTTATAATATTGTAATTCAATATTGTAAACTGGTGAAATCGGTTGGCAATAAATAAAATAATAACTAGTAGTACGCTTATTCTGCGCGTAACAGGATGAGTGAACGTGAGCGCAACAGTGGAAGTGTACACCTACACCTAGCCTACTACTGGTGTCCCTGGTGAACACAATGTTATTTGTATGGGCAAATCAACCGAATCTCAGTCAACAACAATCCTAACTTCTCGTCCATTAATTCACCAAAGTCATTGGTAATATACGTAATGGATTTCCAACAGTTATCGATAGGAGGTAAATCCATCGTTTCTGTACAAAACGTCTTTTGATTAATTGAAGCCCATTTCCTTATTTGTTATGAGGCCTATCATAGACAAAACTAAGCCAAACTGAACTAATCTAACTTAACCTAACTGCCACAGCACAGTGTAAAGGAGTCTTCTTAAAAATATCGTATGGCTTATAATGATGATATATAACACAAACTAACGATAGCGCTATTATATCACCTAAAAATGATTAAAAATCCAATATATGTTTATCTAACTGAATCTAAATGCCATAAACGGTTCCCACACTTGGCACTGCTTGCCTTTACCACTTCCATCGCCACTAACTAAGTCGTAGACCTGTTTCCCTTCCTTCCCATAGCAATTTAGTATTGCAAATAGATTAATCTAACTCTCACGAAGGGTTCCCACACTCCGGACTGCTCGCTTTGACTACTTCCTTCACCGCTTCCTACGTCGTGGACCTGTTCCCCTCCCTTCCTATAGCATTTTACAATTGCAGATTCATTAAGTCTAACTGTCACAATGGGTTCCCAACCTCCGGACTGCTCGCCTTGACTACTTCCTTCACCCCTTTCTACGTCGTGGACCTGTTTCCCTCCCTTCCCATAGCATTTTAGAATTGCAGATACATTAATCTAACTGTCACAAAGGGTTCCCACACTCCGGAATGCTCACATTGACTACTTCCTTCACCACTTACTACGTAGTGGACCTGTTTCCCTCCCTTCCTATAGCATTTTACAATTGCAGATTCATTAATCTAACACTGTCACAAAGGGTTTCCACACTCCGGACTGCTCGCCTTGACTACTTCCTTCACCCCTTTCTACGTCGTGGACCTGTTTCCCTCCCTTCCTATAGCATTTTTAGGATTGCAGATACAATATTCTAACTGTCACAAAGGCTTTCCACACTCCGGACCCCTCACCTTGACTACTTCCTTCACCACTTCCTACGTCGTGGACCTGTTTCCCTCCCTTAACATAGCATTTTATAATTGCAGATACATTAATTTAACTGTCATAAAGGGTTTCCACACTCCGCACTGCTCACCAAAGCACTATTTAATATTCAATGCCAACATTAAATTGAATAATGTAAAAAGCTACTTTAGTTCCAAATATATACATATATATTTGTAATGTAAAGGTTAATTTTAATGCTGAACATAAACGGTATAATAACTGCCGACTAATATACTAAAGTTCAATTTATTATTCTGGAAGTTGTGAAATTATAATGATATATATTCGTAGACCCCAAACTGTTTACTCTATGAATGAAAGAGCTTAGAGTAAAAGTCGTTCTTTCTGTCTTAGAGTAGGCAACAAAATTGTTGGTCGCAAAACGTAAACAAATAAAAAGAAGAAGAAGGTAGCTTCTAATGTTATTCTTATGGGACAAATTTAAAAAATTATTTTCAGGGTCTTATAATTACTACTGAGCGGAATCGTCTAGAATTTTAATGGTGTCTTCCCACTGGTGTCATAATTATTTGTGCAAAATTTGAACGCTATGAGGCGGTTTGGGAGCTCGGTATTAGCGCTAGTCCGCGACTAAGAACCGGATATTTCCGATATTTAGGCTGCCGCCTAGAAAACGGGCTTGGGAGCTCAGGATCAGTTAGGCGCGTGCCTAACTTGTGCAGGGATAATCTCGCGCCTAAATATTGTTGGTTTGGGAGTCAAGTAGACTTAGGCGCCAGCCTAAGAGATAGTCTCGATGGGTTTGGGAGACCGATTTCGGGACTAAGTAATATATTTTCGTCATACAAATTAGTGAGTTTAGTCCCCAACTTTAGTCCTGCCAGGGGGCAGGTCTAAGTCGACATCATGCCGGTATTACGTCATTAGCAAGTTAATTGTTTACATATTAACAAAAAGAATGTTATATCGGAATTCGTTATTAAATTTCGAACAATTTCATTACTCTCAAAGTATATTTGATAAAAGTTTTTTTTTTAGGTTTCTGTTGTTCAAAATTAAAAAAATCTTGCCGAAAGCTAAATTTAACAAAAGATTATTTGTTTTTTGTTTTAACTGTTAACTGCAATAAAAAAATTGACCTTAAATAGAATTTATTTCAACTGAGAGTTTGGTTATAAGCACCCGTACCTTAATAATAAATATTTTATGAGCTAAGAAAATATTAGTGACCACATATATACCCCCCCCCCACTCACCCCCTACGAAAGAGTCAAGAGATAAAAACAAAACATAAAAAACTGCAAATAGCTCACAGTCATAATAGTTTTCTTTTTATTGCGTTGTGATTGAGCTCAGTTCAGTGTCATTGACCAAGTGCTAGTTACATCAAAATGGAGTACTTAGATTATTTGGAGTATAAGAAAATATATACAGTATATCAGTAACCCCACCACAGAAAACCTACAGACTAAGCAAATATCCAATAACCTAATAGGACTTTCAATGTAATTTATTTAAATAGCTTTTGGTTTAACAAGTAACTAAAACTACCTACATGCTACAGAGAGGGCAATAATGTGTGTTTTTTACCAAAATATTAACAGCTTTATATAAAATAAATAAATTTGCCAAGTTTCATCAAAATATATCCATAAACTACCAAACTACAACAGTTAACTTATTCTCCATGAAAATCACTTAATCACATGGGAATTTTAAATTTACTATTTTTTGAATAATATCTCTGTAGCCAATAACCGTACAAAACATTTTAAGATACTTATTTGTTTTTTATACTCTTTAAAATATTTTAAAGATAAAGATTTATGTTTTAGGGGTTAAAATTGAGAAAAAAAAACTATATTAATCCCATAAAACCCCGGGTTCCCATGGTCTGATCATGCTGGTTCACGAACTTATTAAGGTTATCGCACCTTACACTTTCATGCCAAATTTTATCAAAACCAGACAAAAATTACTCAAGTTGTCACGTTCATGGACGTATATATAATATATTGGCTATACATATACAAAAATTTGAACGAATAGTGTTTTTGGCCTCTAGGGACATCAAAATGGAAAAGTATATCGGTGCCGGAACTAAGTGCTACCTACGGTAATAGCTACTTCCCTATAGGAAATTTAGATAAAAGAGTGCCATGTTTAAAATGTTTAAAATTTACAACAATTTTTTTGTAAGGATTAAAAGATATACATTTGCTTCACACAATCATAACCTCCGCAATTACTTAAAATACTTTTTATTTTTTATATCCGTCAATACTCATATATTATACAGGGCAATTGCTGTTTAATTTTGAAGTTTTTTATTGCATGAAACGGAGATTCAGATGTTAACTGTTCCAAACACAGGGTAAATTTTCAATCTTTGTTAAATTTTTTTTGATCTCTGAAAGAAATTATATTGATTTTCAGAAACCTATGTTGCTCTGTACGTATTTATAAGGTGTAGTACTATAGATAAAAAATAGCCGTCATTGAGATGTAAATCAACGATCTTACAAAACAACATTTTTGCAATGGTACAATGCAGAAACTTACACCATAGTCTACTAATTAGCCACCGTTGATATACCAAGATAAAATTGTATCCATCTTCAATTGTTCATCTTTTGTTGTTGTCAACGGTAACGTGTTCTGCAGTGGCCGTTGCCAACGTCAAAACCTGAATTCCCCGCGATTCCCTGTCCATCTAGCCGCGCTGCAACTTAGTCGCGACTATACTTGATCTACGACCATTTCAACTTAGGCGCGAGCTCCCAAGCCTGGTTTTTGGTCCGGGGACTAAAGTTAGGCGCGTCCAACACTAGGCGCGTACTAGCTGGGCTCGAGCTCCCAAACCACCCCTATAAGTGCAACGGTTCTTGAGTTTTGGTGCAAACACACTCACTCACAGACAAGCGGACAACTTTTCTCCGACTCCGCTATACACGATACATAGATTCGTTCACTTCGTTCACTCATCTATAAATAAAGTGCTGTATCACTTCTGAAACAGTTTTATCTATCATACTTACACATTATAAGATCTAGAAAAGTAGTAAAAGTCAATGAGGTA